AAAAAGACAGAAATATTAGTAGAAAAAGAAGAGGAAAAAGTCAATGTATTCACTGAAGCAAATCTAATGGGTTGCTGGGCCAGAGAAGAAAAGGTTCTACTACCTGACTGAATCTTATTTATATTTCTTGCTCCACAATAAAAAATAATTTTCTAGACATCCCCCCCTTTTTTTTTTGCAATGCTAGTCACATTTCCTAAATCCTTTATCAACGACTGCTCTGCATATGAATGGGCTGTAATTGAACTGTCACATTCATGAAGGTCAGTAACCTTTCATTAGGAAGAATGTGTCTTTCTTGATAAATTGCAAAGTCCCTGAGGATTTGAAAGCATTTTTTTTATTTCATTCTTTCAAATATACCTTAAAAATCTAACACAGATCTTTCTCTCTTTTCATAGTACTCTGACAAACCCCTCGTCTTTCTCTTTGTCATAGGCAGTTCCATGCAAAATATTCAATCACAAGCTTTCACTGTGACCTTCTTAAAAACAAAATGGGAAGCATAAGCCCCCCACCCTCAACCCCTTACTTTGAATTGCAGATTGCTAATACTTCTGCTTAAAAATCCCCAAAAGTCAAAACCCTGAGATTAGAAGCTTTGCCATGTCCTTGCTTCTTCAGACTGGTTTGAGTTTCTATTGTAATGCAACCTAAGTCACACCCTGTTGGTGCCAGTACATAGTCCATCTTCTTGGTGTGTCCATTTCTGTGCAGAGATGGATTAATACACCAAGTAGTGACAGGCTGCGTAAGAAAAACAAACTGGGGGAGAGAATGGGGGAGAAAAACAAATTGGGGGAGAAAAAAAACTTCTTTAGTACTACAGACAGTTTTCAGTCTCTTGCCACAGGATAGCTGCATGAAATTCGTTCTTCCCTATCTTAGGAAAATAAGCTTTTCAGAGGGTTGGTTTTGCACCTTGATCTGCACCCTGATACAGCAGGGTCCTTAAAAGAAACTGACTGGCTGCCAAGTTCATAACTGCTGCCAGAAGTTCAATTCCTCCTCCAGATTCTGATCAGAAAGCGTGCAGCAGGATGCATGGAAATGTGTTAAGCTTCCCACCCTTACCAGTGCAAAGGTGCCTTCAGAAGTGTTAAAATACTACTGAGGCTGCTGGGGCAGAAGCCATCTGTTCCTGTGCCACGTTCTAGCTAGCTAAGCCTAGTGCCCATCTTCAGCCACTTGACTGGCTGGGGATTGACTGTCAGAAAAAAAGACAACTTGGTGGAAAGTCAGATCAAGATGGAAACACCACAACATGAAGAAGGTGAGACTTGATAAATGGAGGCAAGCATCTGGCCTTCTGTGTTAGCTATTCAAATGCTTCAAAAAGTAACATGAATTGCAGGTTCTTGAGAGACTATCCTTTTATTGTCAGCACCCATAAAATTGTGGTGATTTGAGGTGTACCCCATAAGATGGAATATAGAGGAAAGAGGAACAAGGCATAATTGCTAAGCAGTTGAAATACTTTGATGGTACAGGCCACACTGGAAGCTTTTTAGCTGGAAGGAAAAAAGAAGCAAACATTTCTTTTGATTTTTTTCAGGAATGATTGAAGAATTAATACTTTAATTAGGCTTAATTCACTTTTCTGAAGACTTCTCTCATCTAGTGAATTCTGTTGGGTTCATATGCCCAGCATTGAATGGGAATCATTTACTGCAGTACCACAGAATGAATCTTCTCCCATCAGTAACAGAAGCCATAGAAAAAAGACTCTCACAAAGCAAAACAATATAGGTTCCGCCTGACATCCATATTAACATCCTCCTTCAGCAGCAAGAGTTTGTTTGAATTCACATGGAGAAGGTCTTTATTTAAAAGCTAGATGTCCTCTCATGCTCCAATTCTGCAATAATTCTCTAGACACAGAGCTCACGGTGAAGGGTAGCCGGGGCTGCCCAGAAGCATAAATGATCCTAGACAATTAATCATCTGAATTCTCTCTGCCACTGGAGAAGTGAGGTACTTGCCATAACACTGTGAAGAAAAAGACCAGGCTTCATCAGTGGCCAAAGGGATGTGGCAAGCACCACCTATAACTTTAAAACAACAGAAAGGCCTTCACAGACCATCACTTTCAGAGCCACCACATTCAGTCTGCTCAGTGTAGGAGTCTAATGTAGAAACCCACACTACAGTGGTATCTAAGGTCAATAAGCAAAGAGTGATTCAGACTTCTTGTGAACAGGGACCACTAGATGCATCAAGCAGGCAGGACTGACTTCTCTACAAGCCTGACTAGGGCACCAAGATGACTTTTGTTTCTGCTGACTGCACAGGAAGCCAAGGTCTAGCAACTTGGCAAGGTGTGCAGAATTGCTCACCAGTCTCTTGACCTGACACACTGTCCTTGCTCCTGTTTCATACTGGGCAACAGGAATACAGCTCCCAGTTTCTAGCTCCCAGTGTCATTGCTGCTCTGTGTGGAATATATAAATATAGTCTTGTGTGGAACTTTTCAACTGTACATCAAGAGATGACTTTGTAGGAACTCCCATTTTGGAGGCAAGATGCTGACTGCTTTACTACAGAGACTAAGCAAAGAAGAAAAAACAAGTTATATTTTAATGTTGGACCACTTAATGTTTCCAAGTTATGGACCAGTTTTCCCAAGTGTGAATTTGGAGACCACTGATGATTTAATCTCCTGCCATGTATTTGGGTGTGCCAGTGATCTGGAGAATGTTTTCATGCAAGGGCCCAATCATCCAGACACTTCCATTTGCTAAAAAAATTGCCAGAATTAACTAACAGTTAAAGCAATTCAAGTGGAAGACTGCAATCTTGGGAAAGAACTTACATCAAAATAAATATTTTCGCAGATATTTTCTAGCATGCCTGCCCTAAAATGCCCTATAGGCAATAATTCCTAAGGTGTACTGTTATTTTTCTTCTCAGATAAAATGTTAATAGCAAAGTGAATATGAGGTTGCTATTTACAAATCTCTGTAGAATTGATGTTTTGATTCATGCACTTTGGTCCTCTGTCCAGAGTATACGAATGTTTTTCCTCACTTGGAACTTAAGGTAGTTTCCTACATCGCAGTACTCAGATTCATATGCAGCTAAATGTTTCTGTATATCAGGGAATTCAGATTCCAAGATTCCAGTTGATAACTGCTTATGGAAAAACAGCAGAACAGTATATCACCTCATTGTATATATCCAGACCAAAACAATGAGACCTCTCAAGCACTCCACATTGTGTATAAAATAAAAGTCATTAAAGAATTTGTTTAGAAGTGTGTTAAGCATTTTCCAGGCAGGCGGTGAATAAATCCACTTTACCACTTCATGGCTTTACAAAGAAGCCCATCCATTAACATGGGAACCCTCTTGTTTGCATTTCTTAACAGCTGACATTTGTACCTTTCTAAGGAAAGTGAAGGGCATCTCATTGCCTCATTGTTTAAATCAGTGTGAAAATAATGGGGATGATAGGGAATTGGAGCTAATTTCCTTTGTCTCCTATTCAGCAGATAATGGTGGTATGTGTGGGATGCTAAAGGCCAGGCAGAGGAGGTGACCTGAAGATGACTTCATTCTTATGAGGTTTATCAAAGGCTCCTGTCAGTCAAATGCATGCTGAGAGATTGGGGACTGGCCATCTGGTCCAAAGTTAATCAAAGAGGAAAAAGGAAAGTGAGGAGGTGAAAAATCCCCCTGTCAGCTTTGTGGAAGGTGGAGGGAGAGGCAGACAGAAGAGGGAACTCGGGTGCTCCAGCAGCCCAGTACCCAGACTCGGTGGCTGCAGGGGAGGCACGGAGCAGAGTGGGGTGGAGGAGCAGCAGGGAAAAGGAAAGATATCGTTGTTTTGAAATTTCCCTGGGATGATCCCACACCGGCTTTAAGTGGCAAGCCTGAAGGTCACTGCTGCTGTTAGCCATGCAGAGCAGAGGCAGAATTGTTTCACTTGTCCTCAGATAAAAAAAGGGGGAATGACTGACTCACAGCAGGGGACCAGTGTAATATAAAGCACAGGGTTTTCTGTCACAGAGCCAGACTTCCTTCCTCTGAGTTCTGCTTCTTGCAAGCAGGAACAAGAGGTAGAGCCATGCCACCTTCATGTCCTGCAGATTCAGCCATACTCAACTCCTCACCTTCTACCCCCCCCGCACCCACTGGGCTCAAAAACAGATGTCCTGCAAGCACTACCCACAGCCAAGAGGTTGGCATAGTTTTCCCATAATGGCTTTTCTGTCAGTGCTGACCCACATACATTTTTGTGCTGTGTGTAAGCTAAGAGGGGTATAGAACAGGGATTTATCAGCAAATGACTTGGTTTTTGCTGGGCATCACACAATGCTTGTACGTGAAAGTGAAGGCACCAATCAGATAACTAAAATACTATTTAAACGTGTGTGCATGTATTATGCAAAAATGCATTTCTTCACCAAAGATGCATTCTGAAGTAAAACACCAGAGTGTGACAGCCTGATTTCCATAACTAGCCCTGTTCAGCTGCTCAAATCAGCTAAATAGAGACATATTTTTAAAACTACAAACGTCCAGATTGTGAATCCCTCCTTCATGCTGGCAAGTAGTCATGCTAATGAGTAGTCTCCTTGACTCCAGGGGAAAAACTTGCCAGCAAAGGTTTCACAATCCCAGCCCTAAACATTTCTAAAATGATTAACCAATGTGAACTAACTTGAAACAAAAAAAAAAAAAAAAAATTAAAGGAAAAAAAAAGGGAAATAGGGGAAGGTGGTTTTTTGAGGGCTGCAGATTGAGGCTGAGCAATAAATGTATTCATGGAATTAGCAGAGCAAGGGATGAATGTGCTTCCTGTAGTACACACACACACATAGAGGCTCCTCCCTCCAGGACAGAAACACCCTAAACCAAAGAGAATGAGAACAAAAGAGTTTGGCAGCCTCATATACCTGGGGGTGGGACTTTCTTCTCCATTAAGTTTCCATTTCGCATCCTCCTCAGGTCGAGGTCCAGTCAGGCCCCCATAGAGAGGAACATATGGAAAACAGTGGCAACGAGCTCTGCTCTACCTGCAGCTTTGCTGAGCTGAGTCTCCTCCAATGCCCTGTTTGGGAGCATCACTTTGCATGGCCAAGTGCTGCAAAACAGAGTTGAGAATAGCGAGAATAGAATCAGACAGGACTTTTCAACCAAACCTTTACAAAGCACCTAACCCAGGGAACCGCTGCTGAACAGAGGATTTCAGTTCAGGATATACAGCTCTGTCTGTACATACAAAATACAAACATAACTATAGATTCACTGCTTGCTGTTCTCTTATTTTTATTGAGTTTTTAAAATAGCAAGCTTATGGAAAAGCTGCCTCCTGCACACTAGGCAGCCTGAAACAGGCCCAGTCAAAATTGAGCAAGGGTGGATAGATATTGGGACATCTATAATTTTCTTGCTGCTAATGTTTGATGTGACCCTTTTGTATGGCAATACAAGTCAGTGAACTATCTCAGGTACCAAACATGCACTCTGCTTTTACATATCATAACTTGCATTTACTTACTGCTGAACTGCTTTACCTGAACTGTGATGACTTCAGAAGGAAGAGAGTTAACAGCACTAAGGGTTCTTTTTTGTTTTTGTTTTTATCTGAACAGCTCTAGATCTCAGAGAAATATGACTAAGAAAATGATCTTTCTCAACCCCTGGAAACAAAATGCAGCCATTTGGATCCCAACATAAAAACAAGCATCAGCATGTCTGAAATTCTCTGCCAGCTATAATTAAAACTCACGAGTGACTACTACACAACTGTTTCTGTCTTTTTGACATGAAACATGCAGAGATTTAGAAAAGGACTGACAGAAAATTCAGCAAGGAAATTTCACCAGAAACCTTCTATCCCCTGGAAAAATTAGGTATTTTTATCAGGCAGCAAGCCATTATCATAATATTTATGATTCCCCTTGCCCAGTTCCTGCTGGATCTCACAGAAGGAAAAAGCTTTAGGCTTACCTGTGTCTGGCATGGATCCCTAGTCTAACACATTGGTTGAATACACAGGCCTGAACATGCTGTCATCAGCATATCCTCCTCCTTCTTGTGGGCCTGAAATAATTCAATATGCTAAATTAGACAAAGCCCTAAATCAATCAGTAGCTCCATTTTTGTCAGTAGCTGAGAGTATTTCCAAAAGCAGGTAGGAGATTTAGCTACCTAACCCTAACCTCATGGACAATAAGAGACCATATCCCCTTGAAGACATTGAGAACATTGAACTGTGCTCTTTTCCCCACACTTCCCACAGCTCCCCTATTTCTAGTTAGAAATCACATAATTGCAAATTTCACATTGTCAAGTAATTTCTGAAGGACTTTTTCAACTTCTCTGTTATACTTCATGGTCAACAGCACACATGCTGAACACATTCTTTAATGATAGCCACAGTAGTAATTCACACAGAAACAGTTTGCTTTCAAACACTTCAGAATAGTAAGGAGTTGGGGGAGGGAAGTTATCAGCACTAATACAATTTATTAGACAAACCCTATGTGGATGCCATGGCAGGTCTGCTATCAAAGGCAAAAACCTTCAGGCTTTTTACATCCCATAATCCCAATGAAAGCCTGCTTTTGCAGATACCCTGCAGTTCATGAATCACTGGCTGTAGCATACAAAATCCCCTATTTAAGTAATTACTGTACAATAGACAAATCTGCACAGTGGCTGATGTTATATAAAATATTCCAAGGCAGTCTCAAAACCACAATATATTAGAAAAAAATCTCAACTGGAAACCAGTGTCTTTCAGTTAGTATATATTGTGGAATAGGGGATGCTGTGATCTAATCATACTAGGTCTGTCCTGAGGACTGGAAATGGTCTGGCAATAGAGGAACCCAAGCCAGTCACAGACACTGAATGGCTCCTACCTCTAGACATTCTTTTCTATTTGTTTCACGTGGGCTTCAATACACCCTCAAGCTCCTGATTTTTACATAATTGGACGGTTCTGTTATTGCCAACTTAGTTTTCAAACATCAAAGAACACAGAATCATCTCAAATCCATGCATTGCCTGAATAACGGGCCTGGCTTCCTATGTTCCATTTATTCAGCAGAATGAACACAAAGCCCCATATTTTTAGGAAAACACCAAACCTAAACCCTGATCTTGTCCATGCATTGCCTTGGTAATGGAGCTGACTTCCACATCCTCATCAGAATGAAACAAAAGCCTGGTATATTAGAAAGACAACAAAATTTCACCAGAATCTTATCTCTGTACTTGGCTCTGATTTATCCCCACACCTGAAAAGTTCAGCTTCTACATTCAGCAACAAGGAAGATAGGTTTTCTTTCATGAGAAGTCCTTATTTGCCTAACTTTGGTTTCATCTGTGGACAAATTACTTCACCAAAGCTTGTACCCTTCAGCTAGTCTGTAAATCAGACTTGAGTGACAAGCGAGTGGCATTTTGCCAAGTCACTTCCAGAGCAGACCAGCAACGCTCAGTCATACCCACATAATCAGAAAACAAACATAAAATGATAAAGAAGGGCAGAACTGTGTTACAATTTACAGAGCGTGATGAATATGTTCAATTTGGATTAATTATAAAATGTGTTCTATTCATCTACTTGCAATTTAAGATCTGACGAATGGCACAGCAGAAAAAAAATCTGAACTGGAAAATTAGCACCACTTTAATTGCAAGACTACTGACTTTCCTCTTTCTTTCAAAGGAAGCACACAGAACTTCTTCAGTGGATGCCATGGCTTTAGAAATGCTATCTGAATCAGACTTAGCATTTTCAGAAATCTCCTGTACCTCCCACAGTGTCCAAGGTTTATTCCACACTTTATTTCTTGTTCTTGGTGCAAGAAATCTGCGGGACAGTTGGAAGTTGGTTTGCAAAAGAAAAATTATAGTGCACCACAAACCAGAAGGTCAATCAACATTTTGGAAGTGCTTTATGAACTGGAAATCTTTCTCCAAAGTATTTCACTACAGCCCAATAAAACATTACATGCTGGTGGAATTTTGTCCTTTTAAAGTTGGCAGTGCTTTCTTTGCCAAAGAGTAAGTTTTGTTCAGAGTTAATTTGCTTTTAGTGCTCCTCCCAAAATCAATATAATCACTACAGTGCAGGTTCCTGAGATAGTGCAAATTAAGTGACCCACAGCAACCAAGGCACAAACACCAACTACACGGCGAAAACATGGAGGGACAGCAATTACCATTAAAAAAGCAAAATCTGGCAAAGGCTGTCTGTGTTAGGTTTGTGTGGAGCTCCCAGGCAGGCTGCTAACACATAAGTTTTTGTTTGAAGGAAGGCAGAGCTAAGATGCAGAAGACTTTTCTGGGTTAGGTCTGCCTTTTTGCTACGAGCATCAGTCACAAAGAGTGCAAGGGGTTTAAGACACAGTGAACAGTTTGGCAGAAATTTGGACTGCTCTGTATGTGGGATGTTGTGATTCCTCCAGCTGCAATTCCCTAGGATGCATTTCACCTAGCCAACACCTGACAGGAAATATTTAGGAGGTTATAAGTCTTCTTTAGAAGAAAGTTACAGCAGGAAGGGGTCCAATATAACAACTAAAACATGAAAAAAAAGCTTTCTCACAGTTTGTGTTTTAGGTGGCTGGCTGAAATCCTGGCTCCATAAAAAGTCTTTTACTGTCCACTTCCAGGATGCCAGGTTTGTCAACATCTAGCTAACTTTCATATATATTTGACCTACTGTGTTGCCTGGCATCATAGTCAAAGAATAGCAGATTCAATCTCTGTGTGAAGAAGAAACACAGCACACAGTGAGATGGTTTGCACAGCCCTACCTCAGGAGGCAGCCATTTCATGCACAAAGAAGGTGTCCCCATCCTTGTCATTTATTGGATTTATTTGACAGAGGCAGGGAAGGAGAACTTGGAGAGCATTTTTTGACACAGCTGATGTGTTGATGCTGATCTTATTTTTTCTCTAAAGAGTTTTATTGACTCAATAGATTACCAAGATTTTAGATTCAGGGATCACATTGCTGCAGCATGACAACCGATTTGTCTGCTGTAACAGAGACACAGTTGTACCACAACTGTTCCACAGTATCTGATCAACCTTTTTCATACACATATAGGTTACCTGGATACTTTAATTTAAAGAACAGAACAAAATATCCAGCCTTATGAAAAAGGGGAGTTGTGGCTGTCATACAGATGTTTTGCTGAAAAAAGCCCTAACTCACAAAGAAAATCAGAGAAGTGGGAAAGAATGGGTGCAGCCTATTCACTCCTACCATTTCTTTTGAGTTTAACAAACCCATTGCTGTCAAATTGCAGCTGTATAAAAAGACAAGATAGTCAGTGTTATCTTCTCATCTTCTCATCATCTAAGCCTGAGAAACAGAAACAAAAGTTTTAAAAGCTGGCTTTATTTTTTTTTTTTTTTTCTGAGGCATGTCCAATGACTGATATCAGCCATTTTACCTGTTTTCCTGGATAAACTATCAATGAGAGCAAGCACTGGAGTGTTTGTCCATCCTGGCAGGGTATATGAACTCACAGAACCATGACTGAGATTAGAACACAGCATCCAGGAAAAAAAAGGTATTAATCTGTGCTTTTTCTCTTGTACTTCCTGTTAGCCCACACCCTTCCAAAATACAGAAAATGAAAAGACCATCAGAAGAAAGTATCATAAAATGAAAGAAAAAATCCCCATGGTTCTGATAATCATTTGGAATATTCTATATGGCCACCAAATTCAAGCAGGGATCTTTGATATGTTGTGCTGCATTATGTGACTTCAAGAAAATGAGATGGGAAGGTAAATATACAAAGTAGGATTTAGCAAGATGCTGGGTGAAGAGGGACAAAACCCCTTTTTATGGTTGTCAGGAAAAAGGAGGGTGACATTCTTACAGAGTTAGAAGGAGGTCAATAAATCATCATCCTTATCTTGCAAACAGTGCCTGTGACTTCAAAAATTAGCTCATTTATTCTGCACAATTAAATTTATTGAAGTGTGACAGAAAAAGTTTAGCAGTCGCTGATGCAGAAAGGCAGCAACAACGGAGGCAGACAGCTGACTGAATGACACAATTAGTTGATTTTCATTTTATTTATCAATATAATTATTGAATTGTATTCATCTTATTTCACAGATTTTTACCATTATTAGAGCCCAGGCCTCAAGGGAAAGAATTAGTTCAAATTTTCAGTCTAACTTAATGTGATTATCGAGCTAGTAATAAAAGAGAAGTTCTATAAAATGCTACACAATCTTGTATTCAATGTCACCCCACCATCCAGCCCTGAAATCCAGAAACCTTTCACGTAAAAGCAGTAAATTGAATGTGAGTTGTGAACATCCTACATTCCCTAGGTGGCAACCGAACCTGTGTTTGCAGGATCCCAACTTGATGTGACCTTAAAGGAGCCAAGATTCTACCTGAATTTTAAACTCAGGTATATGTTTCTTTCTAAAAAGTACTCCAAACAAACAAACCCCCAACTAAATGAAAACCGACCAACCAGAAAAAAAATCCTCTAAAAAACCTCATTGCATCATCTTTGACCCTACCCCTATGACAAGGTTCAGTAAACTTATCTGTAAATGCTGTGAAAACAATAGTGCCAGAATATTAGAGAAAGACTGCCATGCCAGAGGAACAGTGGATGAGTATGGTTCCTATGTAATTACCATACTTGCTATTTTGATACACACTGAAAAAATATAATTCCAAAACTTTTGACAAGTTTTTTTTAAACAAAATACCACAAATACTATTTACAAATTAGAGAGGTTAGCAAAAGTTATTTTTCTTCTTGTCCAGTCCAGTTGAGAAGCATCTAGACTACTCTAAGTTGCTCTGGCTCACTTCTTGGCATGCCTTCCTGTCAATCACATTGTCTGCTTTGGTTTTAACCTTGTAAGAGACAGAATGAGAAAGGCTGGACCTGACTCACACATGTATTCCACTCTTGCTTTCTACATACATAAGGAATCAGGCACATGTTCAGCAGTAAGCTATAGAATAATTCATGTCCTTTCTCACAGGTTCAGGAAATTAGACCACATGCTATTGCAAGTGTCTAACTTTTCCGATGTTTTGAAAGATTATTTCCATTGCAACTAGCTTATTCAGTTCTACCCTCCACTTACTATTCCATAAAACTTAATTTATTTGCTCTGAGAAAAAGACATACGGGCCTTTCTTTTTCTAAATGTTGGTCAAAGTGTCATGGAGCATTGCCTAAAGCATTAAAAAATATAATTCTATAGCCATAATTAATAATAATGAATATTATTACTTATGATCAATGAGTGATTTTGGGTGTGAAAAGACTTCCAGAATTCCCACTGACTTAAACAATATGTTCCAGTTACTAGGATCTTGATGTCTGTGTAGGTTCAGACTATATTTTGGGAATTTAGTGTACTGACTTCAGAAGTGAGCAGGAAGAGAAGTTTATGTCTGTAAAATATATAAATTATTAGCGCTAATAAAGTGGATCCCACTGGGACTATTCGACCTAATTATCTAAAGAAAAAGGGATCAAAAGGAAGAGAACTGTATATTGCACATTTTCCTTTGTGTGTTTCTTGGGGGCAAAGACTGAAAGGTTGCCTTTCCATTTATGAAGAATTATACACCCCACTGGGACCCAGAGTTGATGGAAACCATTCCATAGCAGCACCATGCAGTGAGCTGCCCACCTCCAGAGAATCAGGAGCAGCAAATGAGCCTTCTCTTCAGCACTAGAAAAGATTTAACAAAAGGACAGGTGGGTACAAATAGGGATCAAAGGACAGAAGATAATTTTAATGGTTTAATTGACTGAAGATATTTCCATTGCAGTCAAGACAAGCAGAATCTCACCTACTTTTGCTTGTACTTGGCTTAAATAGAGGAGAAGAGATTACCTTCAAGGATTAACTTCCTATAATCTCTGCAAAATTCAGCAAGGTTCTCATCAGCAGGGAGGAACAGCATATGAACACAGGAAACAGGCTTCTAGACCTGAGAGAGCATTCAGCAGTTCAATAACTACTATGTCAGACTTCTTGGTAGTTTTCTTTCCAATAACCTCAAATCATCTTGCAATGAAAGAGCTTTCCTGTGTTATGAGATCCCAGTTCAGCAGGTAAACCTCCCTTATTCAGACCCCCTCAAAAGAAAGGCCTTTGAACAAAAAACAACTGGACTTTACTAGAATATAAATGAGAATTCTTAATTTCTCACAGAATTATCAGGACTGGAAGAGACCTTGAATGTCATTTAGTCCAACCGTCAACCCAGCACTGCCACAGCTACCCCTAAACCTGATCCCCACCTGCCACAAGTCTCTCCAACATTTCCAGAGATGTGACTCCACCATGTCCCTGGGCAGCTTTATTCAAGGCTTAGTCGCTCTTTCAATAATTTATTTTATTTCTAATATCTGTTTGGAACCTCCCCTGGTGCAAATTAAGGCTGTCTCCTCTTGTTCTTTCACTTGGTACATGACAGAAGAGATGATCCCCACCCCACCACCACCACCTTCCAGGCAGTGGTAGAGAGCAATGAGGTCCCCCCGAGCCTCCTTTTCTCCAGGCCCTCTCACCCAGTCCTCAAAAGACAGATTTTCTAGACCTTTCACCAGATTCATGGCCCTGCTCTGTACATGCTCCAGACCCTCAATGGACGCTTTGAAGTGTGGTGCCCCGAACTGAACACAGATTTTGAGACATCACCAGTGCTGAGTACAGGGGGAAAATCTCTGCCCAGGTGCTGCTGGCCACACTATTGCTGCTACATTCCAGGATGCCATTGGCCTTCTTGGCTGCCTGGGCACAGCCTGGTTCATTTTCAGTGGCTGTCAGCCAGCACCCCCATGTCCCATTCTGCTCTCTCAGAGTCACAACTCTCAAGCCACTCTGCCTGTAGTGCTGACTTGGGTTCTTGTGAGTCAGGTGCAGGACCTGGCACTTTGCCTTATCAAAGGTCACACAAGTGGCCCCAGCCCACTGATCCAGTCCATGGAGACTTCTCTGTACAGCCTTGCTGCCCTTCAGCAAACCAACAGTCCCACCCAGCTTGATGCGTCTGCAAACTAACCGGGGATGCACTCAGCCCCCTTGTCCAAATCGTCAACAAAGATGCTAAACTGGACCAGAAGATGAGCCCTGTGGAACACCACTGGTGACCTGCTGCCAGATGGATTTAGTTCCACTCTCAGGGCCAGACCAGCCAGCCAGTTTTCCCACAAATTGGACTGACTAGGTCAAACATAACCAGCATAAAATGGATGACATAAATCCATTTTCCCCTGCCCACTACATCCTTGCAGGGATGCCTTCTATCCTGGTTTCATTCAACTCAGTCAATCTTTAGAGCAGAGCAGGCCATGCATAACCAGCCCTGGTCCTCTTCCCATCCAAAGACACTTCATTATGAATCTACTTGCTTTTATCCATTATGTCTCAGCCTGCCCACTGGAAGCATCTTGTAGTAAACGGTTGCTCCTTCCTGTCTGCCATACCCTACCTCATCTATGAAGCCACCTTTTCCTTGACACTTCATGGATAAAAATGATAGAAGGAACCATCTTCCTCCCACAAGGGCTGCAATTGAGTCAACTGTATCTTATCACAATGAAATCTAAGCTCTGAACTGAGGATAAGTAAAACAGACACTGTCAGTTGAACCTTGGTGTTATCCTAATTTTTCAGTTGGGAAACAGGAGCCAGGAAAAGGAAACATCTAAGATAATAAAGATTAGTGTGGGGCCACTGACCTCCTAGGTGCCTTGCCCAATTCTCCAACTTGGCTGACTTATATGGCATGCCATAAAAATTTAGATGAGTCCATTTGAAAGTCTTCCACGTTCCTGGAAATCCTTAGAGAACTTACCCACTCACCACTCATAAGAATGTTGCTCTTGTGCATATATAGAGCATTGGGCTTAATTAATCTGATGTACAACATTGCATCTTAAAAATGTCAAAAGCCTGAAGGATGCTTTTCTCCACCCATAGCAATCAACAGTGCTTTGTTTTTCTCTCCAGTTTTCAAAATAAAAACTTCACCAGGCCAGTTTTGTTCAAGGATTAATTTGATTTTTGCCTGATTTCACAGCCTTCCCAGATTAACCCTGTGGACTGCTGTATAACCATCAGGCCTTTGAGCTGACTTTTCATTCCAAATCAATGTTTTCTAAATAATTATTTACCCATGAACAGGTCATAGAGGCCCTATGGCAATGTTTTCCTCTGCCTTCCATATGCAGAATCATTACTCAAAAGGGCAATGTGCCTCAGGTTTCCAGACTGCTCACCAATTCATCTTTTCTTTAAGCCACATTATGCATAAGCATTAATGTGCAGCACCAAATCTGGAGAAAGCCAGTCCAATTCTTCAGAGGAAACAAATTAATTGAATGCCATCAGTTAGAACAAAGTGCAGAGGCACCCTGGGTGTGTGAAGTTCCTGAACCCCTCCTAAGCTTTTCAACTAACAGGGTCTCAGGCAACAGTAAACAGCAGTTCTGAAAAGCACATGAGGCAGTGCCATGAAATTTCATTTTTCTATATACAAGTTTTCTTATCCAAAAAGTGAAGATTTACCAGCTAGCCCAAAACATTCAGCATTCTGGTGTAAAGGAGGCTGCCAACAGGAATTGTTCCAGAGCTGAAACTGGGCAAGCAGGAGGAAAGAGAGAGGATCACAGAGGTGAGTCCATGGCATGAAGAAGTGTAGTCAAAGTGTCACAGTGGCACAGTGTTTTAGGGCAAAGGAGCACACTCTTCCACATGGTTTCCGCTGGATTGAGTAACACCTCCACTCGGACCTGCCCTGAATCAAACACAAAACAAAATTCCCTTACAAGGAAGTTCAAGTGCTACAAAAGATGGCTCAGTTCTGTCAACTCCATCTTCCCCACCAGTGTTCTGCCCACCAAGTTCTTTGCAGCGTCTCTCAAATTATAAATAGATCAGCATGACAGATCTGACCTTCACCTAGGCTGACTTTAGTAGGTACAGGGGCAGGTTGCTGCTCTTTCAAAGCTGGTAACCCGGACATGGCAGTGTGCTGTATGTGTAAAGGACAGTAATTGGAGCCGACGCATGTTAGACTGAACAGGTAGCAGAGCCAAGAGCTGAGTTCATGACTCTTTTCCTTGGCTCTGATGAGATTGAGAGTAGGACGTGCTCAGGGCTTGTGCCACCACTTACACAAAGTTTCACAATGAATAAGACGGATGGTGAACGCTAAAAGTCAGATCCTGAAGGAAATGGGGAAAATGGAACACTAAAATTCTCTGGGGGAAGTGGTGTTTTGTCCTATGCCTAACTGCAAACAACATAAATCAACAGAGATCAAAGAAAATGTTCCTTCTCCCTGGCTCTCAAAACCTTTGAACAGTAGGAGACTCAGTAGTCGAAGGCTAAACAAAAAAATGAAAGGAGTGATTAGAGTGAGGGAGTAGATCGGTACACAAACTTTGGAACAGAAAATACTGTATTTAACAGCCATTACTTGCCTTTATACCATGTAAGATGTCAGAACATTGGTGCTTCCTCTTTGTGTCTCTGTCAGCAAAAGTGGGGGGTCAGCAGAGCACCCTGCTGCTGAGCAAAGAGGTCACCAAAAAGACAAGAGTCAAGCTCTCCACAGCAGTGTGTGGTGGGAAGGCAAGGCATAAGTGGAAAGCAGTTCAGACTGGTTATAAGGATATTTTTTTTTTTCCCTGGGGACAACCAGAGTTGCTCAGAGATTGTGCAGCCTCCTTGGAGGTTTTCAAGGCCCACTTAGATAAAGCTTTGAGCAGCATGGCCTCATCTTATGGCAATCCTGTCTAGTGCAGGGTGTTGGACTGGAGACCTCCTGAGATATTTTCCACCCTAATTATCATGTGATCATACTTTCTCTGATAGTGTTTGCAGGTTAACTGATCCTGTATCAGAAAAAAAAGCAGCTCTATAATTGGTAGCAAGGACTCAGTGCTAGAATATTTGGGTTCTTCTGCCTTTTGTAATGGCCAATTAAAAAGCACTACAATTACATTGCAATTGAGACTACACCTAGATGTCTAACACCTCTATTTTAATATCCAGTTTTGACTTCAGTGTGTTCAACAAGCCAGTATTTTTCAGCACAGAAAATTTGCATGCTGTACGTACTACATATAGTATGGTGTTTTGATATACTGACCCATGATAGGAAAAAATACACGCTCACAGGAAATTAATCTTCATCTCCTGGAACTGTTCAAATGTCCAAGGTTCCATCAGACTCTTCCAGCTTAGCGCCATCTTCCTTTGCATTTCTAGAGGATGAGAACATAAGGAAATGCCATTCCTTTTACAGCTAAATCGTGCTATTACTCCAACTACTTCTGAGAGATTGGTACTGTTTGTTCTCCTAGCAGCAACTTTGAGATACTCAAATAGTCACATATTGCTCAGAGAAAATATAGAAGAAAAACAAGCTGAAATTTTGGTGGAGACCTTAATTATGAGCACATAAGGATAAGCACATTTTTCTTCGTTAAGTCCAGAATGTCCAGCCTGTACAGCACAGCACAAATTTTTAACCCTTCTCAAGTGATGTCATTGATGCCAAATATTTAGTGCAATGATTTCAGCAGTGAATGTCAAATATCTCTCAAATATTTGCATGCTTCTTAGCTCCTAAACTGACAAGCTTTAATTTAAGCAGATATAAGTGAAATCTGCCATGGCACATGTTGGCTAAGATATTTAAATTATACAGTCCACAACGAGAAAGATACAGAGCAAATGCAATCCTCATTAGAATCAGTGTGGCAGGGGCTCTTCTCATTACAGTTATTTAAACAATAAATTAATTAAAAACTCCTCAAAAAGCCCAAGCACAAAACTACTCAAGATGTGTGGGAAAAATGCCACAGTCTTGCAATCTGCTCTTTCTGGAAAAAAATGGCAGTCCTCTCTTTTCATCTTTATTTCTCTTTTTCCTACAGATCTCATATGGAGTATATAATTCATAACCAAGCAAATGGGACAACATAAAGCATGAGGACATTAATTTCTGTGTCACACCTTTGTGCAAGCTCAACAGACCCCAGCAGCGTAGGTAGTGGCAAACTGAACTGGGGAGCTCCTCAAGTTGCTAAAAGAATTACCTGCCCTTTCTAACATGAGTCTGTAATATGCCATACATATTACAGTACATATCCCTCAGTCCATTCTCTTGTCTTTAGCCCATCCCTTAGGGATACAGGGAGTTTCATAGGACAGACACTACACCCTTTTAATTTTACTTTTCTCAGGAAAGCACTACGTGCTGGCCTGTATCCATCCGTCTGTCTGTCTATCTATCTATCTATCTATCTATCTATCTATCTATCTATCTATATTCTCTCCCCCACTCTAGCCTTTTGAGTCTGTTGGCACTTATCAAGCCGGCTACTAGAGGACTAGAAAGTAAAAGATGAAATCCCACAAATCATGTGAAAGTAAGAAGGGAGAAAATAATTGCAATTTGTTAAACAAAAGAGACCTCTAAGAGCTCTTTCACCGTATTTTTAGTCACCAGGGAATCCCCAGAGGAAAGAACTTCGAGGAGTTTCCCAGCAGGCAAACCTTGGAATAGAGCACCTACCTTCTTAGACACAGGTTAATCCAGTCACAAGATCCAAAGCTTCTCATGGGCCACCGAATAATTCTAGCAATCAGACCCTAAATTTAGGTCCACTTTTAGATAGAACAAATTGTTATCTCTACCTGTCTGTTCAAGTCCATGGAGGACAAAGGACTGGATCTAAACCTGCAGCTAGGTGCTCACAGTGCCACTTGGATAGGTGGAGAGGCCTGATAGCAAAGGATCTTCTGTCCCTTCTCTAACCACTCTGTTCTCCTCCAGAGCAGTTACTCAAACACCTTTAATTCATCAGCTGAGCTTGTCCAGAAATAGAAATGTTTTGGCTACATTGAGCCAAACATCTTGGAGCCATGCTACCCAAGAAAGCATTTGGGACTTATGAACTAGGTCCTCTAGTGCTGACATTCACTCAGCACGTGGCTGTGGAGAGAGGAGAAAGTCCTATTGAATGTGTCTTGTTAGACAGCCAGCAGCAGCTCAGTTCCCAGGGTTGAGCAAGAGTGCACAGTGGGAGCTCTCCTTTTGGGATCTGGTCACTTTCTGCCCCAGGTGCCTCCCTCCCAGGTATGGTTCAGAATTATTTTCTCAGTCTGAAGCCAAGGGAACTGGGAATAACAGATGATGATGATGATGACTAACCACAGACATTCTGTTAATGCCCTGCTGAGATGATCAGCCAATAAATTTCCATGCAAAGATAAGTGCCTAAGAAAATGGAACACGCCAATATCTCTCCACTGATGGAAGAGGCAACCAAAACCATTAAACTTTTCTCTCTTACAGAGGTACCTTTACAATCTGTCCTTCAGACTCCAAAATATACAATTCAATCCTTTAAACTTGTGACAATTTTATTTTTAATAAAAAATCCAGAAAAAAATTGTTAGATTCAGTTGGGGTACATTTCAGACTCTATAAATAAGGTTCACATATTTACATTATAAATTTAGCACAGAATTTCAAGTCTTACTTTTTAGATGCCAAATGCTTTTAGTAGAAAGCTTTTTAGATAATAGGATCTTTCTTGTATTATGCATTCATAAATTTCTTTCAGTGACAGGGGTGAGTTGAAAGATCAGTTCAACACTGCTGATTAGTTTCTTAATTAAGTTATTGTGTTCAAAGAGGGATAAATAAATATTGGTCACAATTTAAAGGGAAGCAAAAGTGGGTCACAGAACTTGAAAAGGCTGCCCAGTGAAATAAAAACAACAAAATGTTACATTTTTCACTCTTGAGAAGTGCTTTTGCAAGTGGCTGGTGCTGATTTTCTCCCTCTCAAGAAGTGGACAGGAAATGCTGCACTGAGCTATCATGAAAAAGGGGTCAATCAGGGGTGTTTTGTAAGGTGGGGAACGAGATTTACAGCAACATAATCAGTTGGCCAGTTCATCATTACAGACTACACATGTCCTAAATTAGGAGAGTATGAAGCGGGTGGATACATTATGCTGTTTCACGGGAAGCAATTTGAGCGAGTTGTTCTTGTTCCAGTTCTTTGAGACTCAACAACACATCTCCCAGGAATCTGTAAATCATCAGCAGGTGATATTGTTGGCTGTCATAGCACAGACAGGCAGAGCCAGTTACAGCTTTTACCAGGCTTTTTTTCTGTTCTTGTTCTTAAAATTCTCCTTTCCAGGAAGCTGCAAAACAAACCACAAAGCAATCAGTAAAGCAGCACAGCACAAAACAAAATTCCAGAGATAAGAGACATGCTGATAATATAGTCTTTGACATCTGTTTGGGGGCATTGCTGAGTTAAATATCAGTCCTTCACCAGATTAATATATGTATGCCTGATCTCTCTCTCTCTCTCTGTTCACCTATGTAGCCTCTGCCAGTGCAGTATCTGAATGCCCTGGGAAACAGCAATGAATGTACCCTCACAGCACTCTTTTGGGGTATCAAAGTACAGAAAGTAACAGATTCTCTGAGGGCAGATGTAAAATATATGTCAGAGAAAGGCCCCCAGAATTCTGGTTCCACATTACAGCAGGAGCATCTATGTTACAGGGTCCCTCATCTACCTGGTACATAAAAGGTTGTTACTGATTGCTTCTGAGGCCACTGAGGAGGGAACAATATTTACATCAAATACATGTGTGTTGGACATGAGGGGATCTTCTAACTGAGGAAAAATGAGATACCGGGGCAGGATATTCACAGCAACACTGGTGAGTTGTCCTTCAAATAGGTTTTTGAAAAAGGGCTGATAAATAATCCTCAGGAATGGGCCTTTTGAAAGCTGGAATTGCCCTGCTGTGGACATGACAGCCTAGGGTATTACCTAGTTTGTTTTGCTGACTTTAGCTTTGCAGTGCATATCAGGACTTGAGTGGCAGACAAGTAGAGGTGACATTTATTATCACCCTGCTAAAAGAGAAATGGGTTTAAGTCTACTGTGTCACAACATATACAACATTATATAGCTCATGAAGTTATTAGAATAAACCAAGAAGCCACAAAGGGCTAAGGACAGGGTGTCTCAGCAATATTGAAGTACAGTCAGTGGGGTAAGGGGGGACATCTCCATATAAAGAGACTAGGGCTCTGACACAAACTATGGGGAGTATGTAAGGTGTGCTGAAAAATAAAGTAACCTTTAGGAATTCTCTCAGCAGTTGGTCAGTCAAGAATCTATGAGATGGAAAAGCAAAAGAAACAGCCACATCTGCATGGAAGATGAGATCTTATGGCTCCAACCCCTTTTTCAATTAAACAGAGCACTTCCATCTGACTTCAGGAGCTTGGACTTGACTTCACCCTTATGAGAAGTGACCCAAACTTTGTATTTTATAAGGGGCTGAATTCCTAGGGAATGCCAAGAAATTTAGCACCCTCCAATGGAGTCTCTTGTTACAGCATACTTGTGTGGGATTTCTGAACATCTGGAAGCCCATCCTGTCCCACAGTCACAGAGAAATAGTGACTGCGCAGATGCACTCAGAGGGCTCTCAACTTTCTTTATGTGCACTCAGCAACTCACAGTGCCCAAGCATTAAAACACAGGTATCACTTTTCTGAGCTGGGCTTTCCAGTCAAAAATATATCAGTGCATGACCCCAGCCATCATTTTACTGTGCATCTTCCTCCCTGAGCTTGTCTGAATGGAGTTTGCCTCTGCCCTCTTTATAGAGATAAAATAATTGAAACAGTTGACATAAAGCATGTGTTCTGAATTATTTATGTGTTTTCTAGGGGATTAAAAAAAAAAGAAGGAAAAAAAAAGAACCAAAATACCAAGCATACCTGCCTATCTAAGCAGCAGAAATGGAGAGGATCTGGGAACAAATACAACCCAGCTCAAAACCATGGTTTGCATGCTATGAGGAAATTACCTGTTACATCATGTATAGGTATGTGAGTTTTCTATGGATTAAGCAAACATCACCATATGCTGCAGGTCAAAAAAAAGATAAAACCTCTGTATGTATAGAGATACAGATATCTGTCTCCTTCTGCCATTTCTAACAGCATGCAGAGCTGGAGTTCATAGCAGGATCTGGCACTGAGGAACCAACATGTGCATCTGAATGTGGCCCTGCAGAGATAGATACATTTGTTTGTATGCTTATACTGCATCAGGGGCGGAATATGCGGCTCATTTCTCCTCTTTTGTCTAATCTGGAGAAGGCTCAAATCATGAAACCCTGGCAGCATACCACCCATCAGGGCATTCCCAACATAAACCTCAAAATCCTCTGAGTAGCCAAGCTGTAGGTATATACCTGGGAGATTCCACAGCCCAGCTCACCATGTTACAGGATCACAGCTGTGATAACTTGATCTTCACTACACTCTAGGGAAAAATCTAAGTCAAAAGCTTTTCAGAGCTATAGGCCTCACTTTTCTGTTCATGAAAAAAACCATTTTTATGTAGCCATGGTATGTTGTGTTTATGTGAAGATTATGTTCAGCTGTTGCCTTTGCAAACCTTTTGATTCAGTGCCTGTAGATGTTCACTAGCCTGTCAAGGATAAAATGAATACAGGGGAATCTTGGAAAGACATCAAGCAGAGAGAAACCTAGATCACAAAAACATGATATTAAGTGTAGATAATGATCCAAACTTATCTAGGGCCTGGGGTTTAGCTGGCCCCTTTCTGTCCCCAACATAGATGCTTACAAAAAACCCTCTAAAATTTTGCACATGCAACTTCTGTGACATTGGCCATTGAGGAACTCATGCTGGTTTTGGTAAGTGCTGGGAAAACTGGCCTGTTTGGCATAGAGCTATTACTTTGCCTCTGGGAAGCAAAGAAAGTAAAAATAGATCAATAACTACAGCTCAAGAGACAGATTTACATGGACCATGTAAATAAAAAACTTGGCCAAGCTTCTTTTATTTCCAATTGTTTCATCTTTATAATATCTTTTCAGCTTTACATTAAAGATGGTTCTTATCACAGAAATCAGCCTCAAATCCAAGGCTGTATGTGGAATATCCTTTACCTAGACCAGCCCTTTTTAACCCCACATCTGCCCTTTACAGGGATTAAGCTCTGGTTCAGAACCAGACACAATTTCCAAGCCGCCCTCTTTTAACAAAAATTTAATCTTTTTCTAAGTTTGCTGGCCATAAAGCATTTCTCCAGTTTCAAAATAGCCTGGCTTCCCACATGTGTCCTAGGGTCACTTCTAGAGAACCTACCCTAAGCTGGTATACACTGTTCGGGAAACAAAGGCAAATATTAGTTGTCTAGTATAACATAACCTTATGAGCCTCTTGAAAGCCCATCTCCTTGCCCTTCTCCCTCTAAGGCCAGAAACCTGTTGCTAGAGATTTTTGATACTCCAGGCTGGAATCAGGCATCAGAGTGATGAGGGGAACATGCAACAACACAAGTGCTCTTTGCTTACATGGTGAGGGCTACAGGGGAGTCTGCCAGGCATCCCTGTCCCTGTCTTGACAAACATTGCTGCCTGGTTATTGAAACCACTTGCAGATCTCCCCTCTACTCACATGATGAGCAAATCCAGACCACTGACTCAAAATCTCTATGCCCTAGAATCCCCTTCCTTCCTGTTTTAACAAGGATATTTTCAAAATCTGGTAGCTCAAAAACTCCCAGCATTCATCACAAATTGTTTTAAATCCCAGTGGAAAACAGATTCTTCTGTTTCAATAACACAGAGTTTGCTTAGAGAGCTGGCAATTCAGAGGAGACTGAACCACAGCTCCTGCCAAGACTTGGCTGCACACCACAGCAGCCAGGGCAATGAGTATTTATTTATTCCCACAGTTGTGGAATTGAGATATCACTCATGGAAATATGTTTCCCCATGTTTTAAATGATGGCTGCTTAAGGATGCCTCCCACACTTCAAGAAGCTGAGTGCTTCTTGAAGACATCTTTGTCTAGTTACCTGCTCTGGAATACTTGGATTAGGTCATGGACTTCCAACAATGTCTTAGATTGGATACCCCTGCTGGCCTTTAAAACACAAAACATTCTCCTAAGGTGATGGAAAGGAGAACCTCAGTAAAACATTATAGATGGCAGAACACTTTTTCTCCTTCAATTAGCATCTGGCATCCTCCTCACTGGTTTCAGTTGTCCTCACATATAAGCTCACACTTACAACCATCCATCCCTGTCTCAAAGATCTTCTCCACAGCCTTCTGGGGGTTTATGTTAAATACTGATCTGGTCTCAGTCCCATCCAACCAGCAATACTTTTGACACTTTGCTGACTAGCAAAATGCAGGAGAAATGGGATTATTCTTTGTCACCTTCAGCCCAGTAAGCATCATCCTTCTGAGTCACTCAAGTCCAATACTATACAATATCTCAGATCCTCCTTACAGGCAGTGCTTGCTGTTGTAGCCCTAGAGGAACAAATGTATTCTCTTTCTTCTCAGGGGAAAATGCCAGCACCACGATGAGTCTGCCTCCCCAAAATACTCAGGAGTCAGCACAGTAATCAGCAAAAGCCAGAAGTTTTCTACAGAGTCCCAGATCCAGGACTGCCACTAGGATTTAACGGTGTCCAACACAGGCAGATGTGGCCAAAGAAATCCAGCTGCTTCCAAATTGGTTGCAGTTGCAACTGCATCTGAAGCTGGCCAGCACTCTGAGGTGGCCTTCTCACACCTTTTCCTTAATGTGAGCAGCCCAAGCACGCCAAGAGGTTAGAATCTGCACAGATGTGAGTTCAGGCAACTGCAAAAAAAGAGAACACAAAACTTGGAACAGAAAAACCCCAACAGACCTCACCACTCCTTCCCCACCTCATCTTCCCATCTGTTAGGTATTCACATGCTAAGGAGCTCCCAAACATTCCCTAAGTGCAGCAGTTTTCAATGTGCAGTTCCAAGTCCCGGACCATTCCTGCTGGCTCCCAGGAGATGCTCTATGAGGGCCAGGTGGGGATGTCATGGCCCAGTGCCATGCTTGGGAGTTTCCCAAGAGCTCTGCTCCAGTTTTGGGGGTATGTGTCAGGTAGAATAGGATGTCCCACCCTGCCCTCTGTAAAAGCTCTCCTTCCCTCCCAAAACCCTCCTGAGAAGGGGTAGTTTTCCCCTGTCTTTAGAACTGAAACAGGCAGAATAAAACACCTTGCTGTTCACCCATAGCTTCCCTAACAAAACAGAACATGCACTAGCAGAGAAACAAAATAGCTACCTCCTTTTACAGCAAATTACACAGCTTTGTTGGGCATATTTTTCTATTCTAAAATCATCCCAAGAGTGAAAGCAGTCAGTGGGCACCTTCAGAGGTCTGGGAACATGTCGGATCTCAGGATCTCAGTCCTGAGGTGCTGGGCCACCGAGACCACCCTTGGGGGGCTCGGGAGTCCTGGAATGTTGCCAGAAGTGTCTGGTGGCTGGACTTTGACCCTACACAGGAGACGACACCTGTATGAGGATAGGAGGACTTCACCGGGGTGAATGGTGAAGGGATTAGTTAATTAGAAGGTGAGACACAGGGTTTAGGATTTATGTACAGGGGGGTTTAGAGAAGTAAGATGGAGGAATTGGGGTGTGTCCTGTCCTTCTTCTTCTTCTTCTTCTCCTCCATCTTCTTTGGTGATGGTGGCACTTTTGGATTGGTTATTACTAAAAGTGCACCGGGCAATAAGAATAAATGGTATTGGGGAAAAATGATAAATATTGTACACGTAACCATGGGTATAAAGATAGGTGGCTGTACGGAGGGCAGCACAGTGTGCTCATGGCTGACTGCTGAGCAGACCTCTGTCGGGCTGAAAGAAAATCTTTTAGATAAACAATTAATAAACATAAAAACCGAAAGAAGAACTGAAGCCTCTTCTCGTCCTTCGATACGCGGGCTGCCCCAAGGCCACTTCGGGCCTTTCCAGGCCCTTCAAACAGCCGAAAACCCGACAGGAACAAGTATCAGAACAAGTTCCACCATACAGCTTTATGTAGCCACAGATACACATGCAATGATGAGGACATGGAAAAGCTCATGAGGGAATCAACCATTTTCTCATCAGAGAAGGACTTGAATGTTGTCCCATCAATAAGGGTAGGGGCCACACAGTGAGCAGTAAGGAGAAAACTAAATATTGAATTGCTGCTCAGTAATTAAGCACAGCCCGTGCTGTGCACGAAATAAGGCAGAGATGAAAGGGAGGAAAAGAGCAGAAGCGTGTATAATTAAATTCTATGACAGAAAAACATTCCCACAGGGACTAACAGAAGATACCAGGAGTATCTGGAGTTTTGGCACTTGCTGACTTGGAATTGTCAAACATGTGCATATATGAGGGTGCCTGTATGTGTGCACTCAGGCCATGCACATGGGATTGTTTCTTGCACAGGTGACCTACATAAAATTGGTAGTCCAGTCCCTTGAGAGAATGCTGGAGGGATGGGAACTGAGGTTAGAAGGAAAAGTGTCAGAGGTCTATCAACAAAAAGCTGTGCAGAAGAACAGAGTGATTCCTTATACTGTTCATGTAGATACATAAATCCCACTACTGAGAAATTTGTATAAGTAGCAGGACAATTAGAGTCAATTTGCAGGTTACCTACTAGAAAACAACAGCCTTGCCTTTGCAACTCTGAGGGCATCCTTCAATTAGTTTCTTTTTTAATGTACATGCATTCAGTTTCAGCATGAGCAATGGCTGGAGTAGGAGAACTTTATGATACCTCTCTTCTAGTAAAGGAAGTAAGAAGCTAGGCACCTACCCACCATGTAGACCTCTCTCCAGAGAGCTGTTTGCCTGCAGATTGTTGATCAAATGATAGGTTTTGATTGTAGATCAAAAAGCCATTGTTCCAATTCTGGGACAGGCTAGGGAGTGAGGCAAGGCCTGGGTGGAACTGGAAAAAATGACAGCAGGCAGCAGATGGGAAGAGGTGGCTCGGGGAGGAGAGAAGAAGCAGTGGAAAATTGTCTTAGTAGGTAGCAGCTGGAATGAGAGGGGAAGTGGTCAGTTTAAGGGAAGTAGAAAAGAGCTGTAATGCTGTTACACACTCAGGTCAGTCCTGCAAATTACGAGAAGAAGCATGGAAAAGGAAAATCAGAAGGCTGCCTTTAACTTCTCTGGTTTCTGGCAACCTGGGAAGCCTTGTTCTGATCATTAAAATAATGACCAGTCTACAGTACAGCAAGAGAGGAGGGTGCCAGCCATCTCTCTTCCAAAAGTGACCAAATGTGCCAGAAATTTTCCCACTGGTTTGGGCCTAAGGGTGCCAGTAAGCTGATTGCTAATCTCTAACACATGCCTGGTCTCAGCAGTTGCAGTGGGGTGAGGCACAAGGGTTTTAATTTCTGCTTTACATCCTTCCCGCTAACACCCAGCATGCCTCTCCCTTCACCACATGGCTTTGCGACCTCTGCTTCTACTATTTTCCACCTTCTTTTTTCAAAAGTCAGCCTCAGGGCCAGGGAAGGTGCTGAAGTACTGTGCAGGAACAAAACTCAAACAAGGCTACTTAAAGCAAATATTATTTTTCAACTGAAAGACTTTTAAATTTCCCCCCTCCCAGTTTATTTTTAGAACAATGGTAAAACATACAAATCCTGGAGGCCTCAAGCACTTTCCTGCTGTGCTATTGACTTAATTTATTTCTTTAATTTGTTAAAACCTCACCAAAAAAAATGTTATTCTTTGGAGACTTTGCTAGCCCAAGTTTTGCATATATTATTTGCTGCAAAAGATTAATGAGATAGCAGAGGCATTTTTAATGGATTCCCTTGGTTTTCTCTCACTCTCCATCACTTTTTTTCTTTTTTTTCACTTCACACGGCAGCGCAGGTCCACAAGTCTGATGAGAGCTCTCCACAGACAGGATCCAGGGTATGGGAAGAAAGTAATGAAATGAAAAAGCCTCTTTCACAGCTCCTGCCCTTCTCTCTCCCCACTCAGAGATACTGAGCTAGCCAGAGCTCTGCACCAGCAGATCCAATGCCTCCAGAGCCCTGTGCTTTGCAAGGCTCCGAGGGAGTGGACAGAGGTGAACACCCTGGGTTAGATCCAAGGCATCCAGAGCTCCAGAGCCCCATGTTTTGTGAGGCTTTGAGGCTGAACAGTCCGTGTTGGATCCAACGCCTCTAGAGCCCTGTGTTTTGTGAGGCTCTGAGGGAGTGGAGGGAGCTGAACACCCCGAGTTGGATCCAAGGCCTGCAGAGCCCTGTGTTTTGTGAGGCTCTGAGGGAGTGGAGGGAGCTGAACCCCCAGGGTTGGATCCAAGGCCTCCGGAGCTAGGCTCTGAGGGAGTGGATGGGGCTGAACACCCTGGCTTTACAGGAAGGCTGCGCGTGTGACAACAGCTAATCCTGTGCATAGTTCAGAGGTGCCGTCAGCCAGCCCGGCCAGGCACAGAGGCCCTTCTCTTGGCTCACTGAGGAATCTGCTGACACTCCCAGAGACTCTTAGGGAGCGCTTTGGACGCTGGCCCCAGAAACCTTCCCATCGACCTGCTCCTCTTACGGGAACTGAGCAATGCCTGAAGTGTGGCAGCAGCACAGACTTCCGTGGTGGTGGCTAAGAATCAGATCTGTTTCTCTTTCTTCATCCAGCATAACCAGGCTATTTGTCAAGAAGACACACTATGCTTAGAGGTGTCTAAATACTTTCTCTCCTCTCAGCCCACGCTCAGCCTCTATTCCACAGAGCACAGATTTTGCCTAACAGGAGGTGAAACGGAGTGAGAGAAGAGGAAAACAAGAAGTGAGGGAGCACAGGGAGAGTGGGTTAAGATACTGGGGTCAGGGCAGAGAGATAGAACCAGTTCTTTGTGATAGCTTTAAAGACAGGGTAGGTCAGTGATGGGGCAAGGGTACGTAAAAGGGAGAAGAAGTCACAACACCCTGCTGCAGAAGTGAGGAGAAGAAAGGTGAAAGCCTCTTGAAAAGCAGCCAACAGAGACCTCCTCTCTTTCTTCACATGCAAAGCTGATTTTTACCCTGAATGGATCAAAAAGAAATGGCAAGCAGCCACTCTTCTAGCTTGCCTCCCTGCCTTTTGGGAAGTCTGCCCATTGCTTTAGGGCTGGAGACTCCTATATGCTGAAGAACTGAAAACAAATGCGCTTCAGCATGACTGCAGCCAGCCCACTCAGCACATCACTGCATTCAAACCACTTAGAACAGTTTGGAAGTCTGTCCAACTTGACCCCTCAGAGAGAATTCACAACAGGAACTGAGTCAGGGATACTAACCATGGTATGACTTCATTTAGGGGGATCAGTTAGTGGTCTAAGGACCATGTACACTCTATGGGGCAAATCCTTGCAGCTCAGTATCTTTTTTTGCTGTAGTCTTAACTCTAACACTGTCAGGACCATTGCCAAACATTTCTGAGTGTGCCACTTGTGCAGCCCTGAACCTAATAATCTGCACTTTTGCCTGAATCAGAGTGTGTCAGACATGACCAGCCAGATTTCTACTAGCTCTGTTATGCACACTCAACTGCCCTGCTTCGGGTGCTGGTGCCACATGGGCACAAATGTTCTGTGGGAAATCCAGCTCCTGTAGTGTGCCATTCAGGCAAACACCACCAGCACATTTTTCTCACCCTGTCTTCTTTTTCCACACAGAAAGAGCAAGGCAGAATAACACTGCAGGAATAAGGAAATGACACGAAGGCACCTGTCTGGAACAGCCAACTCAAAGACAGTGACACACAATTAATAAGCCTAAATACTGAAAAATGGGGCTGCTATTCTCTGTCATGCCAGAAATTACATAAACCACAAAAGGGACATGCCAATCCTTTGAGGCACCCCCAGAAGAATTTTTATGGCACTGTATTTCATAATTTCTTTTGCTACCTAGAGGGCCCAAGTTCCTAATCTGTGTCTGCCTCTGCCTCCCCAGTTCAGTCTCCACTGCTGCAGGTGCATTCAAGTCACTGACTACCCACCCCCAGAGGCACCTAGGGCTCTCCAGTGCACATAAAACACAGCTTCATGCAACATGCTTAATGTTGACATCCAAGGGAAGGATTGCTGAGGGAAGAAAACCAAAACAATTGCTCAGCTATGATTCAGACTAAGGAATAAGATCAGCTGAGAGGGAACGTTTCTTGTGTATTTATCAAATTTCAGAGGCAAGACTTCTGTCCACATTGAACTCAGTGCTATTGGACAAAGTAGCTTAGAGCTAGATGAGTTGCAAGCACAGCCCTACACCCTCTTAGGTAACTCTGAAAAAATATGGTGCCTTAGTGGTGGTTTAGTTCAACCAACAGAATTTTAAGTGTGCAGATGTAGCCCTAACGTTTTTGAATATCACTGACTGGATTGCTCAATAGATCATGTTGATCAAAAACTTGACAGGATTCCTCTTCTGGATCTTCTTTGATTTGGTTTGGTTTTTTGGTAGTGGTTTGGTTTTTGGTTTTTTTAATGGTATGACACATGGTAAACAATACTACACAGGTATGGTAATGGCACTTAAATAGTCCCATACATAGCAGAGATTCCTGCATACATTCATTTGAAGTAGGCCTGAGGCAAGCCAAATATACAAATAATTAGAGATCTGTAGGCATGCCAAGAAATATTCACGCAGCATATAGGCCCAAGAGAAAATATAGTGAAGATTAAGAATATTATTAAGACATATCCGGAGATGACAGTATTTGATAAATTTCTTTATGAGTATCTCTACGATCCTGGCAATTCCCATAAAAAGGACTGGACTGACATTTTCCATGTTTACCTACAACAGCCCAATCTATAGCTCTGCAGCAGGGCTTAGTATCTGCAATTTAAATGGTGGCTAAGAACCTTCCTTTGTAATTAGATCTACTTCCTACACTCAGCTCCTGACCAGCGTTTCTGTTTCACTCACATCCCAAGACAACTTCTGTTGCCCTTTTCTTTAATTTCTTTCCACAGAAAACCTTTTTTTCCCCATCCCAAAACTTGCAAGCTTTTTGTTCCCATTACAATCTTTGGCACACCAAGCAGGTGGTATCAGAAAGTGCAAATGCTTCCATATTCTTTGAATTACTACAAACTGCTGGATGGTTTTGCTCATCTTAAGTACCCAGTCTTTTGATATCTCAGCCAGTCCATTCTACACTCACAAGTTAATAAGACTAGAGGCAGGGAGAGACATGAGAAAGGCCACCCAATTAAAGTGAGAAAATGAAGATCAAAGCAGGCTACTGTGCTGTCATATGGTCAGGTACTGAACTGTGCCTGGTGCAGTCACTGATAACAGACTAGATATTGCTGCACGTGTCAGTTTGCTGTGACCTTCACTTGTCACCTGGCTCGGGCCTTATGAGAGCTGACTAACTTTTAAGTTAAAAAGGCTTAAATTAAAATTACTAGTAACCTTGGGAATCCTCAAATAGCTTCACTGAAACAAGAGGCATGACTTTGAAATTACAAGCCCTGTGGAAAGGACTCTACATAATTTGATAATGGACACAGATCACTTTCTTCTCCTTGAAACCAGCAGGAACTGAGCACTGAAAGTCCATGGCCACTGGAGGGATAGGGGACTAACCCATGTGGCATGTAAGCATGAGGTTACCCAGTGTCTAGGTCAATCCTTGCATCTGCTCAGTACAAGCTGCTCCATACAGCATGTACTGCTCTCCTGATAATGCATCCAGAAACCACAGCATAAACATTGCTCTAGGCATCAATGCTGTGGAGTAAGTGTTCCCAAACTCAGTGCTCCTGTTCCTGAATGCACTGAGAAGGAAGTGAGGGGCAGAAAACTCACTGTTAAGCAGAGACAGAAGTCTTCATTTAAACACCATTATGAATATTGTCTACATTTCAGAGAACTCTTACACCTGAAAATTGCTAGGAAAAATAGGGCACATCTAATTTTCAAAATAATAATAAGAACCACTTCAATGGATTCTAGGAGTATTTAAATAAGGGTTGCCTATTCCTGCAAATGGATGGAGTTGAGAAGGGCTCATCACACTTTGTGGCAAAT